TGAAGTTGATAAAGATTAAAGACTAATATACGTAACAAAATGGGTGCCTAGGACCTTCAAACCCTAATTATGTACTATTTAAGCAACTTAAGAACCAAGGCACTTCATCATTTCAGCCTCCACTGTACCTTAAGCCTTTTTCAAAACCCTAACCCATATTGGTGTGTTCTTGTGAGTTCGTAACCCTTTTGAGAGCATTTTGGTGTTGCTTTGGTGTTTTGGAAGAGGAAGAAGTTTGAAGAAGGAGCAAGGATTCAAAGGGAGCTTGTAGATCTAGGATATTAGCACCATTTCTGACTCATTTGAGGTATCAAGCTTCAAACTTGACCATGGCATGCTTAGTTAGAATGTTGGGGTGTTTTACGGGTTATTTTGACTCCATTGTTGGGGTTTCTTGTATCTTGTTAGTTCCAGAGTAAAAGAGTCATCCTTTTGAGCTCTTAGAAGCACTTAGAGCCATAAAAATGCAAATTTTTATGGTTCAAATGGACTCATGAAATTGTTACGACCTTTCATTAAGCTCTTTTAAGCTCTAGGGTCCCACTAAGTCATTATGTACGTAAAGTTGCCAACTTTACGTTTTAAGTCATCCATGGGAATCAGGTCTGGGGTTTTGGACCATTGACTTGAAGCATTAAGTGCTTATTAATAGAAAGAGGTTAGCAGGGGAGTACGTTGGGCGTACAAGCTGGTACGCGCAGTGTATAGGTCACAAGCCCAGTACGCCTTGCGTACTCAGTTAGGGTGGGTTTTATACTAATGGGCCTCAGTTTGGGCCATTCTTTGGACTTGACTACTTTGGGCCTTAGTGGGCCATCTAGAATTAAACATTGGACCAAAGAAGCATTATTGGGCTTTTGGCTAAGGCCCATGAGAGGGGTTTGGGCCTAATTGGAAATTGGGCCACTAACGGGCTTCTATGGATTTTATGGTTTAGGTCTTTTTATATTATGGTTTTGGGCCTTAGAGTTGGACCATGTTGGACTAGGGGGTAAAATGGTCATTTTACCCTAAGGATGATGATTGGTACGGTCTAAGTGTTATTTTGGTATTGATAGTTCGAGGAGCCGAAGGATCAGTATTCAGGGAATTTCCAGTAGCAGTCAGAAGTGTATCATCCAGCTTGTGAGGTGAGTCTCCTCACTGTTTGTATAGGTCTAAGGCACCAATGTCGGCCCATTTAGTTTATGTATGATAGGAAGACCCGGGGGTTATCCCTAGACATTATGCATGGAAGACCAGAGGGCGGCTCCTGGCACATAGTATGTTATTATGTATGATAGGAAGACCCCGGGGGTTAGCCCTAGGAAATATGTATGAAAGATTAGGAGGTGGCTCTTGTCACATTGTATGTTATTATGTATGAAAGACCAGGAGGTGGCTCCTAGCACACTGTATGTTGATTAGCTAAGTAGAGTAGTATGTATGTTATTTGTCTTTGTGATGCTTGCATGGAAGACCAGGAGGTGGCTCTTGGCACTTGTCTGTAAGACCTAGGGGGTGGCCCTAGGCTTGGCAAGAAAGACCACGTGCGGCCTGTGGCATAATGGCAAGACTATGTTTGGCACATAACATCTTACTTGATTATGGATATGTTTGATATGTATGGCTCATAGTATGTATGGCATGTATGGCTCAGTTGATATGTATGGTATGTGGTAATTGGGGAACTCACTAAGCTTCGTGCTTACAATTTATAGTTTTCGTTTCAGGTATCTTCAGTTTTCAAGAAATAGGAGCTCGGGACGATCGCAGCGCATTCACCCATGTTATTTCGCATTATGTGATCTTTGGGATTAGACTATGATATTTGTTTTAATTAAAATGTTTTCAATGTCTTGAACAAAGATATTAAAGGTTTCTTGTATTAAAAATGAAATTATTTGCCTTAAATTTTGGGATGTTACAATTTCAAGGTATAAGACCATGCTTGGTACAATTATAAGAACTTTAATATAACTATTACATGTTTAAACATTCCAAAGTAAATGACCCGATCCAGCACAAATATTGTTCTCTTTTATTTTTATTGGTTTCATCTAGTCAGAGAACCACATGGTTTTATATTCTACATTCGTCACTAGATTCTAATGGTAAAATATTTACGTTGGAATAAATCCATTAAAAATATATAAATACAAGGACTTTCGTGCTATTGTCCCTATACCTTAATACAAGATTAGTAACTTCTTATGATGATGATCGGAGTGGATGGTTTATAATAATAATCGGTAATTGGACGGTAATTGTGAACGACATTTACATCATTGTAAATGATTCAAAAAATTTAATTCCAAAAAGGAAGTTGGTCTTGTTATGTGTTGTTGATTCATTAAAGAAATATGGAAAGTATTTTCAGTTTCAAGTGCTTAGCATAAAAGACATTAAGTTTACATTAAAATTCTAATTTAACATTGTGGTTTTTTTTTTTTTTTCAAATTTGACACCGTGTTTTTCAAATTGTTATAATTCTGACGTGCATGATAACTTGTCAGTTTTGATGAAGTTGCATTCTGAAATGTCAAAATTGATTTTTTTTTTCTACAAAAAAAATTAAGTTTTCATTTTTTTTAATTTTTATTTTGATACAAATTTTTTTTTTCAATTGTGACACTTTATTTTTTTTTGTTCCAAATCAAACATCATTTTCCAATTTTATTCATTGTTTACCAATTTTTATTTGAAACCATATAAATATTTTTTTAATACATTTTAAACCGTATAATTATATTTTTTTCATTTAAAAACCATAGTTTTGTAAAAATACAAGTTTTTTACAAAATGAGTTTATATTAAATACGCAACTTTAGTATAAATATGTATTAGTTATATAAAAATTGTATTTTATATTAAATACGCAACTTTAAAATGAGTTTGGAAGTTTGGAAGCATGTAGTCGATCAAAGCTCAGATGTCAAGTTTGCAATTCGTGGAATTTTACATCTCATATCTTAATCGTAATATTATTATGAGCATCTTGAATCTCATGATGTGGCTCTCATTAAATCATATCTTTTAGCTCGTTTTTCTCAAAAATATTTTATGAAGGATAAATATCGTTATTATTACATCTATTTTAGTATTCTCATTAAATTTTGGTATTTTGTGATATTTCTCACCTCTTCTTCAATGTTTCAAACAAACATTAGATATTAGTATATACCTAATAAAATTATTTAACTGTGAATAAAAATATATGTAAAATCTACAACAAAAAATAAAATAAATAATATTTCATAAGGGGATAAATGATAAATTTTTGTTGATCTTATTCGAAGCTTATGATTATTTTGGTTCTCATTATATAACTAGTACATATTTATACATAAAATTATGGTTTGAATGTTTTGGTTCAAATGTATTAAAAAATATTTATATGGTTTCAAATGGAAAATGGTAAACATTGAAAAAATGATGTTTGATTTGGAACAAAAAAACAGAGTGTCAAAATTGAAAAAAAAAACCCTTAGTGTCAAAATCGAAAAAAGTGAAAACTTAGTGTTTTTTGTAAAAAAAAATTTAATTTTGACACGTTAGCATGTTATGTCATCAAAATTGATACGTCATCATTCCACGTCAGTAGGTAACCGGATTGACCAGTCAAATTGTTAGAATTGTAAAAATTTGAAAAACAAGTGTCAAATTAGAATTTTGGTGTTAACTTAGGGGGTGTTTGGTACAGGGAAATAAAAGTAAAGAAAATGAATTAATTCCTTTTCCATTGTTTGGTTAATAAAAAAAAAAAGAAATTAGGAAATAAATCAATTCCTTTTCCATCCAAATAATTCTTTATTTTTAAAAGAGAAAATGGGAGAAATAGGATAGCTACTCATATCGTGCGTGGGTAGAGAATAAAAAAAAAAAAAAAGCGGAGAATTCATCGTGTCCCCCATTCGATCCTCGATCCATGCAATTTCTGAGTTTTTTCAACGATCGCTACTGGATATCATGGAATCGGCCCACGTAAGTGATCATAAGAATTCTCGTTTGCCCTACATATGCCTTGCTCCTCTCTATTTTCGAAACTTCCAAGTCACAACTTCACTTTTCTTGGTCGATTTTGGCGTCATCGATCCTCTTCTAGTTGAAGGTATGAGTTCATGTTTCTTTCTTATTCTACTTGTTGGTCGATTCTGTGTTAATTTGCTATGAATTTTGATTTTGAACTCCAATTTAAGAATATGTTAATCTTGCTAGGAGTTGTTTCTTTTTACATGTTTGAATATTCTTATGTTGAAATCGATCTTGGTGGTTAAATTATGTAGATAAGTGTTCAATGACGATCAATTGCTATTTGTTCATTGTTTATGATTGAGTTGAATGAACAAAAGCAATTTTTTTTAGAATTTCAGATTTTTTTGATTTTTTTCTCCAATTTGAACCATCATAAAAGCTTCATACCTGATTGGAATGATGCGATTTTTTTTCCAGATTGCACTCCTCTGTCTTGTCTACGTTTTAGTATCAAAACACTACTTAATTGATTATGTTTTGGTTGAGTTATACAGCCCCAAACAGGGGTTGTTATGATTGTTGCATAATAATTCTGCACTTTTTATAAATTTTGTCAAACTTTGAACCCTCATAAAAGCTTCATACCTGATCGGAATGATGCGATTTTTTTTCCAAATTGCACTCCTCTATCTTGTCTACGTTTAGTATCAAACAACAGCTTAATTGGTTATGTTTTGGTTGAGTTATACAACCCCAAACAGGGGCTGTTATGGTTGTTGCATAATCATTCTGCACTTATAAATTTTGACAAACTTTGAACCCTCATAAAAGCTTCATACCTGATCGGAATGATGCGATTTTTTTTCCAAATTGTACTCCTCTGTCTTGTCTATGTTTTATTGTCAAACAACAACTTAATTGGTTATGTTTTGGTTGAGTTATACAGCCCCAAACAGGGGATGTTATGATTGTTTTATTATATTTTGTATTCATTGTGGTATGGTAATATTATGTTTAATGTTAGGATTGTAAAAAGTTTTGTACGCATGGCTGGACGAAACAAACACACATGGACTATTGAAGAAGATGCAAAGTTAATTGAAACATTGTTGGAGTTACATGTCTCTGGAAAGTATGGTGGTGCCGATAACGGATTCAAACGCGGTTATTTGAAGGCAGTGCAACAACTACTAGATGTAAGTCTTCCTAACTCGGGTTTGAAAGCAGAGCCTCATATTAAATCGAGGATGAAGACATGGAAAAACCATTTCAACATCGTGCAAGACATGGTATACGGAACAAACACGAATGAATTCGGCTGGGATACGGATAAATGTTGTGTTACCGTCGATGCTTAAGTTTGGGATGAGTACATAAAGGTACTATAATGATTATGTTTGTAGTATTTTTGTGTTTTTAAAACATGTTGTAAATGAGTAGTAACCAATTAAGTTTGTGCCATTCTAGTAGAGTCATAAAGGTGCTGATTAATACAACTAAACAAGAGAAATGATTCTAAAAAATACAACCAAACAGGGAAGTCAATTCCCTTAGGCGTCGTTTGGTTCGCAGAATGTTTTTTAAAGGAATGAAATCTGTCAAATGAATTGGAATCTGGTGGAATCGGAAACTGAATTTACTAAAAGCTTAAATGTGTTTGGTTGACACGAAATGGAATTTGTTTTCTGTTTGATTTGTTGAATTCACAAAGGAATTGAAAATTAAATTTTCTAATATGGCATAAATACCCTTTAATGTTTTTTTTGTAACTTATTATATGTTTTAATAAACATGACGATGTTTTATTTAATTACAATGTTTTTTATTGAACTCTTCTACAAAATATAAATTGAAAAATAACAATCATGTATTTTGTTGAACACATACAAATTATAAAAACATTGTTTAATTAAAATAAAATATTATATATAATAATATAAAAAACAAGTTTCATTCACTATTCCCAATATGAATTAAAAAAATGCTAACGCCACACTACTTAAAATAATCTGTAGATACATAGTGGTAAAATTAGTGAACAAAAAAAATCACGTTGGTAAATAAAAGATAGTTGTGTAATTTATAACAAAGAATATGAATTGAATACAGATTCTTATTGAACGAATGACAAAATCATAAATCTTTTAAATATGGAATTGACTTATTACTATGGAAATCTAATTCCTTTTATTTTGGTAGCCAAACACGTTTTCTACAGGAATTTTATTTCCAATTCCCTTTCATTCCATTGGAATCATACGAAACAAACGCGTCATTAGTGTCTTTTGTGCTATTTACTCTATTTTAATCAGTCAAAGAAGAAGTTCAACCGATGGTACGTCCAAAATCAAGGTTGTTAACCCTAAATACGATCTTACAAAGGCACTCCACTTCAATTTTCACCAATTCCGTGCTCAAAATTAAAGAAAAAAGGGCATATGATAAGGGAGCTAACAGTAGATTCCAAGGACTAGGAGCATGATAGGGTCCGAGAATTGACAAAAAAAAAAATAATAATAATAATAATAAATAAAAAATAAAAAATAAAAAAAATAAAAAAATTGTGACATAGCCGATATTGGTTAACCATGAAAAGACAATGGCAATAGAGCCCAACATATAGAGGCTGCAATTTGAAGGTTGACTTTTACAAATAATGTACTTTAAAAAAGTCAAACGTGACTTGTGGCGAAAAATGTTTGCAAGTCCATGATGGACGGTTACCGGTAGTGTCCAGCCATTTTGGCTTTTGTGGGCACCTCCATGACAAAAAATAAATTGAACAAGATAGTAGTAGAGCTATATTTACAAATTAATTAAAATGCTTATTTAATTAGATTATAAGATTGTTTTGTGATTTATTATAATTTTTCATGGTTATCATCTACTGTTTCTTTTTTATTCCTTTTTTATCCCCTAAACGATGTATTGTCCATGGATTATTGAGAATTATCTCTACAATTTGATAGCTAAACAAGGATTAACTTCAGCTTGCATTTAGTGTCAAGAACCATTATGTTACCCCATGTAATCATAGTTTGCACGAACCCCCTACTCCGACAACCAAATTGTTACACAACTCCAAAAGGTTTTTCAGATCATAAGGTTCTAAGACACCAATATTAAATAAGATTTACGGTTTAGGTTTAACCCAACTTTGCTTGATCATAACTATAGTAAATTAAAAACTTTGTTCTTTATGATAGACTTTTTCTTAAATGGTAGAGATAAAAGTCAAGTTTCATTGAATCAGATGGATTATTCATGAAGTTAGAGTCTCAAAATCACCGTTGAAACTTTGTACATTCAAATTTGACCAAGGAGATGAATTTGCACCAATTGATTAGTGTTATAAGTGATAGGGATAGGGTTGACAAACACAACACAATAATAAAATATGCAAAGAAAAATAAAGAACTTGATTCACTTAATTAGAGAAATATAAAGAAAATAATAAGTTAATGTGTTGCACTTGATCAGAAATCGAGCTACATCCACGGACGGACTAGATAGAAATTTTATAAATAAAAGCAGCCACGCTTGCTTTTTGCCTTATGGTTACAATCATACATGAAGATTTATTTATAAGAACGAGTTGACTCAAAATCGAATCGATGGTTTTGGGCTTAAGAAATGTCGTCAAATCGATTGGCCCGTTGATCGGCAATGCAACTTCTCCTCGAGATATCACAATTATTATGTCAAGATACCACAAATGTGGTATGCCGGACACCACATCCTTACTCTGCATGCACCCAACAATGTTTCTCCGCATCCATCAGAGCTATAAACGAAGCGAACGTTCAACAAACTGTTCGTGAACCTTTTGGTGGGAAATTCTTTTATTTAATAAACGAACGAACACGAACACAAATTCATGTTCGTGTAGTTAAATTAATGAACATGAACAATGATCTTGTTAGTTCAATAATGTTTATGAACGTTTGTTTATGTTGTTCCTTTATGTCCATTCATTTAAGTTCATTATATGTTGATATATATTCACTCGTGTTTGCATACATTACTATATTATATGTTTGTTTAAGTTCATATATGTTTATTTATCTTTGTTCATTTATGTTAGTTCATTTATGTTCGTTTAGCATGTTTACAAACATAAACAAATGAATATGAACAAGAAAACTCATTCATTTATACGGTCATGTTCATTCGTTTGTTCGTCTAACTCAAACGAACGAACATGAACAAACCTTGTTCGTGTCGTTTATAGCCCTATCCACTATGTAACTTCCCTTACATCCACACTACATCTATCTCCGCAGTTGTAGTCCTACTCTACAACTTTGAATTTTAATGCCAAACTAATATATGAATTGCCTTAAAAAACTTTCTTATTGGGTACTATCATTGACCCCCAAACAAGGCTTCTCCCCCTTAACCCCACATACACTCTTTCAGGAACATGGCCCATTGCTTAGTTTCCATAATGGAAATAAGGTCAAATGGAATATTAGTCTCTATAACTAAACAATATCCTACTTGGAGGCTGATCAACTAATCTGATGTTAACAAAGCTTGAACTCTATAACCATACTCTATATACAACACCTTATCTTTAAGTATCTTATAGACTAGCTGAAGTCATACAAAGCTTCAAGTTATTGGTTGTCGTTGCCTTGGTAAACATGTTTGTTGGACTCTTTGTACCAAAGATATTCTTTAAGTTGAGAGTACAATCACTTATCAATTCCATAATAAAGTGGCACCTCATTTAAATGTGTTTCATGCTGCTATGAAACACGTGATTCTTTATAAGGTAAATTGCACTCTGGTTATTATAATATGTGACACAATCTTCTTGTTTCATGCCCAACTTTGACATGAAGTTCTTTAACCATATATGGTTAATGTCAATTTAGCCTTATCAATTTGTAACATCCCAAAATTTAAGACCAAAAATTTGATTTTTAATAATAATAAAATCTCCAATCAAACATGTTCATAAATCCATAAAAGAAAACAAAGTATATCAATCAAACATCCCAAATACATCATAGTGAAGTAAAGCGGAAATCAAGGTGTGTGTGTGCGATGCGATCATCCTGAAAACATTTTAAACATGAACCGTAAGCATGATGCTTAGTGAGATCCCTAAGATACCGCATACCATAAAAATCTTCCAGCGCAAGGCTGTGTCATGTCTATTTCACCCCCGAGTCTATTTCAACTCATGCGTCAGCCCAAATCCGTACTGGGTCTATTTCTTCCTGGGGTCTATTTCACCCCAGATCTATTTCAACTCATGCATCAATCCAAAGCCATACTAGGTCTATTTCACCCCACATGCATATAACAAACAGGCATACATGCATATAACACATACATTAGGAGTCACAAAGACTACAAACACATAACATATCCTAGTGTCCTATAGTATAGTGAGCAAACTCACCTCATTCTGCTGATAGTAAAATAAATGATCGAGCTACTGAACTGGAAAATCCCCGCGCTATACAATCAAATAAAAATCCCAATTGATAATCGGGCCATAACCTTAACTAGGAATCAAGTTCACTTATCCAACCCCATGGTAAAAGACCACTTTACCCTTTCCTTACTTAGCCCAAATCTAAGGCCCAACCTAATGGATCCAAAAGCCCAATATGACCTAACTTCCTAAATGACACCCGAAGCCCATTATGTTCCCAAATCCAAGAAGTGACAAAGCCTAACAATGGCCCAATTCATAAAGACTAATGGCCTAACAAGGCCCAAAACCATAATAGTCTAAATATGGCCCAAATTGTAAAAGTCAACAAAAGTTAGGGCTGTTGAGTACACCCAACGTACTTAGACTTACGCCATGCGTATGCCTATTTAGGCTAGCACGCGTTGCGTACGAGCTGGGTACGCCCAGCATACTCACAACATTCCCAACTTCGCCATTAAGAGCTTAATTGGTTAAGCCACTATGTCCAAATCTCATATCTGATCCCAAATGATGTCTTAACATGTAAATTTGGCAAATTTACTCCTTTGCATGGCTTAATGGGACCTAATACTCAATAAAATCTATAATAAGAACCCTAACTCATGCATGGTCCACTATAACTCATCAAGATAGCATTTTTATGAATAAGGGACCTCAAAAATGCCAAGATCTATCATCCTTATCTTCTGGAGTAGCTCATACTCTCATGCAAGACTTACAGGAGCATAAAAACCACAAAAACAAGCCCTAACTAGATCTAATAAAATGAACCATCAAGTTAAGAGCTTTATACCTCAAATATCTTTCCAAGTTGATGATGATTCTGGATCCACAAGCTCTAGCCACACCAATGCAACTTCCAAGAGTTCCTCTTCCTTCAGAACCACCAAATTCATGCGAAATAAA